ACTAAGCAGGGAGAAGGGAATGTCATAAAAGGGGAATCGGAGAAGTTGCTCCAGTTCCCGGTCAAAGATAAATGACTACTTCAGTATACAAAGGGAAAGTGAGGCAAAACTTTAGTACTAAATGATGTGGACTGCAAGGGTAGGGCAAATTATAGCAGGACCCATGCCAGCTTGGACTGGGGAGAAGACAAGGCGACTATGAACCGCAGCTAAGAAAATTGAATACATCAACCCAAATGAAAAAAAAGAAAGCAAACCCTCAAGATTTCGCAGTAATATTCAATGCAATCTCAACGGGCACATTGTGGATAACCGGTTCTAATGACGTCTGTTACTGGAGGGTTGATCTAACCTACAGAGAGATCAGACCCATCACAATGGCAATAAGTGAGTGAATAGGTGTCGGGACATTGGAAAAATTTGGGAATGAGAGGGGGATCTCCCTTCCCTTCCCTTCCCCAAACTGTTTACTAGAAATGTTGAAAGAAACGGAGGGGGGGAGAGTGGCCTTCTTCTGTTGCAATGCCATAGATAAATGCCTTTCTTCACTTTTATAAAGAAACAATGTTTAGTCTTTAAATCACCTGCTAGGACTAGTCGGTATGCTTGTGTCATGACTGCATCTTACGCAGGGGTTCTGGTGACGTCAAAACGCCGGGCTTCGATCGGAAAGATAGTGCCTAGACCTCATTGCTAGCTGCCTTGAAGTCTACCCACTAACTTTCCAATCAGAGCCAATCAGAGCTCGGCATCCTGACATCACTGCAACCCCTGCGCAAGGAGCAGACGAACTTGCACTTTGCATTATTGAAGACATGAGCACGGGAAGATAGGGTCCAAGTTCAATTCCTTTTGGTCATATCCCTAGGTCTAAAAACTAAAAAATTAGTCCATTCTCTCTTTCAACCAAGTAACTTTTCCTAAATTAGGCTTAAGCTACCTTTAAAGGAATACTTGAACGAAATTTGAAATATTCCCCTCGTGTTCAAAACTAGGTTGAATATGATCCACAATATCCGTAAACGACAATCGCACATTTGTATTTTGAGCCTGATGGCTGTATTTTTTGCTATAAACGGCCCACTCTGGCAAGCGCTCGGAGAAGTCCCAGCGGAGACCAAGTGACATCCAACGCAATCGTGACGTAGGTCGTCTCAAGACGAGCAAAGCTACGGCGAGGCTGACGTCGAGAGGACGGCCTCGTCGTTCCAGCCACCGAAGTGGCTGCTTTTGTACGAATTTTGAGTGACGGGTTAATTTTCTGTAATCTTGTAGGGGGACAATAGCGACTTCTGCGACACACAAAAGGCATTCTCGGGAAGAGGGGAGTTCCTCCTGCTCCTCTTCTCTCGTCGTGGCCGGAGACGAGACAACCTCCGTCACTAGCTGTCAAGGTTCCTAGACGGGCATTACAAACGAGGCATTAGCGACATCCACCAGGTGCTCTTTGCTAATCGTTTAATCTGTTTTAAAATTACTTTTTGTGACTTTTTTAACAAGATATTGGTGTGCTCGATGTGATGCTGCTTTTTTGAACACATATAGACCGAAAAATGAGCACCGAAATTTCGTTGTAGTATCCCTTTAACCCTTTAACTGTCTTTTCCACAGGTGCGGGAAAGCCTGGACCCTCAGATGGACAAAGTTGACTAAATAAAGTTTGCACAAGCCATTAGCCGGTAATATACCACTAAGCAAAAATTTGCTTTCGTTGATTGCCCATTAATGGTGATACACAAAAATTTTGGCAGCTTGAGTTTAGCCGTTGAATGGTGGAAAGTTGCACGGGAGCATGTCCGAGTATAGGGCTGTGCGGCTGAAGTTACGCTGCGCATATGCAGCACCACTCCTCCCCCTGGCGAGACACGCCGATACTTGTTAGAAGCACGAGGAGCAGACGACGCGGGAGGCTGGTGCGCTTGTCGTGCTGGATTCGTGCTTGTTAAAGTAATGTACCCAATGAAAAAGGTACCAAAATGACACAGCATCGCGTTAAACACAAAAGTACATCTGTCTCCCGAAAAGGTTTGTTTGGTCCCTGGGAGGCGATTCAAGAAAGACCGCCAGAAGCATGAATCGCCCGCTGTGCGGAGGACAGGTTTAATTATTGCTTCTCTATCTTGTCACATGATTCAGTAACGCAGCTACGCTTGCTTGTCACATTTATAGGGACTTTTCGTAGGTCACACACGAGAGCATGCAGGAGTTTTGCATTGCTTCAGGGAGGACTGAGCTGGCGCCCATGGGGCCCGCAATCCATGGCTGACATTTTACGATAAGTCCTTAATGTAATAGCTACGATGGTTCCCCATGGCGGTCCACAAACGAAACCCGAATATGCAGCTACCATTTTTTTATAAACAACTTTAACTTTGAGAATTAAGCTGACTTTGCTTGCCCGCCAATTTCGTTCCCCGATGTTAACAAGAGAAAGCGGGTAACCGGCAAAAGACTTGAGGAAAAATTAGGCAGATAATCGTAGCCCCTATTGCATACTGACTTGAACGCATAATTGAAAGGAAATTGACGGCTGTATTCTAGATTCCCTATATATTATTTAGATGATGTAGTTAGCCCACAACAAGTATAATTACTTCCTAAAGGTCTGTCAAAATTAGATACTAGAACGTCCTAGGTCGACCAATTTGAGCGTGTTGGCAATGTTAGATGTTCCTAATGTAATAGCTAGGATGGTTCCCCGTGGGTGTCAACAAAATAAACTTGATTATGCAGTTACTATTTTTTAAACAGGATTAAATTTGAGAACCCAGCTCACTTTGCTTACCTGCCAATTTTCCATTTTGATGAATTAGTGGAGACTGGGTCGAGAAAACTAGAAGCATCAACCGTGGAAGAGACAGAAGAAGGTATCTTTCTTACACGCTTGATATTTTTAGTTCTTTCGATCCAGTATCTGGGCAATTCATCCATATTGTTAATATACACACAAGCCCACCTGCGCTCTCACAGTAATTTCTACCAATTTCGTTCCCCAATGCTTGCAAAAAAAGGCGAGTAAGCAGCGAAAGACATGAGCGCAGATGATACAGATAATCATAGCCCATATTGCGCACTGACTTGATTGCATAGTTGAAAAGGGATTTACACTGACGGCTGTACTCTAGTTCTTTTTTATAGTATTAAAAGGATGTAGTCAACCTACAGCAAGCATTATTTTTGCAAGGAACTTTAAAACATCAAACCCTAGGACATTCCTCGGTCAACCAATAAGAGTGTGTTGGCAATGTTAAACGTATAAATTGAAAGCTCCATAAAGAGGACGAAGACAGGGCACGTCACAAAGGCCAGTAACTAAACATTCAGGACTGAAACTTAAAATTAAATAATCTTTTCTTGCAGAGAGAGAGTGAAGGAATTTGGACGATCCCTTTTTGGCACAAAGACTCAAGATATATAAAATTTAATTGTGCCTAAAGAGCAAACAAGACGAATAGTGACGCATATTTGTTTTATTAGTTGTGAACCGCAACAGTGTTCAAAATTATCATTCTGCGGTCACATAAAAAATAGGCTAAAAACAGGCGGCGCTATAACGATGAAAATGCAAGTCGATTGGAGACCACTCTCTTCACTAATAAAATTATAAGTGGGTTATACGCACGTACATGAATTGCGATTCTACCACTGACGGCAGCGACAGATGTGCACTAACATAGCAAGGTGTCGCGGCGAATAGTAATATTTTTTTTATTTTGTTGTTTGGCCCGCTCAAAATACCTCGGAACAGATAAGCGGACGCCTTATTGACGTACGATTTCGGTTTTTTATTAGAGCTTGATCCAGTGTTGTGATTAGGCTGTGCGTGCTTCGTCATTTACTTCATTCGGATGAATCTGAACAAGCGCAGCATGCTTCCAACAGTCGGTAACTCAGAGTTTCTAAGAGCACTGACCTTTTCGTGCACAGCTGTGCTGTGCACAAAAATACAATTTAAACAATATTGCATCCTCATCTTTGTCTTAATATTCCCGACTTCGAACAGCTAGCGAAACCATAAAGAAAAAGAGCATTTATCTCGAGGCGGATGTTACAGTCGACGCTGTCTTGCACTTGCGAGACACACTTCGCAAACGGCAAATGTTTTTATGCCTGGATCATTTCCTCCACCCCGGATACCTGACAAACAAGCAACCTTTCTTAGCAGAAGTTCGCCTCCCTAAAAAAATTATCACAGTTTTTTAACAGACAGAAAGCTTTAACTCAGTGCTCGCCGTTGCAACTGGCAGCGCAATGGGACGAGCAAACGGCTAATTAGGACGAATTCGCGCCACGGCGCGGTGCCACTGGGATCGCTCCAGCGCGCCCCCAGCCCAGCCGAACGGTCCCAAACTCGGGCATGGCACTCAAAGGGTTACGGATATGACAATAATTCTCTTTCTCAAGATAACCTTAACATAACAACCTATGTCTGAAACATCTAGAATTCCAGTGAATGATGCCTGAAACCAATCCCCACCAGCACCTGCGGTGTCATGAACAACTGAATCACCACTCTCACGGCAGCCATATACTTGGCGTACAACAGACTGTGACTCCCGAGCACAAGGAAAAGTGCCATTGAAGTTTTCCATAAGGATGTGGAAGAATAAGCAGACCAGATTACGAAAAGTGTGAACTTAGGTAAAAGTGCTTCCTTAATCCCATTACAAACATAAGTCGTCATATCAGTTAAATTGTTTCATACTAGAATTCACGTTTTGGTGCATTTGGTGCAACAAAATGTACACCACATAAAGCCTAGCGAATTTTACCCACCCAATATTATGCTTGCAAGAGTATAAATTTTAACGGAACAAAACTGAAGAGTAAAAAATATGAGGAAGTTCCAAGTTTGTTCAAACAACATGGCTATGATAGGGTACAACACCCACAGCTTCTGTACGGAAGGTCATCCCTCATCATTTATATCCCGTGCAACTGGCACTATCTTAACAGAAGGAACACTTTGGAATCAACAACAGGTGGCACCAAGCTCTTACCAAACACCATGAATGGTGACTCTTTGTACTTTCGCTTTAATTTCGACGTCGTCGTTTCCTCAGTGATCGTGGGTTCGAATATGGCTGCCGGCGTTGCCATCTCTGTACGGTCCTCCGTCATAAAGATCTGGAAAATGAATGCAAAAAGAGTGACAAGTTTGTTGTAAATTATGCATTGTATGTCAATTGAAGAAGTCGAAGACAACCTGGCTTGCAACACTATGTAGTTATTTATTTTAACCATAAAGGCCCTTTCGGGCATTATATAAGGGGAACATGATACAAAGATTGTTACAACTGAACCAAGTGGCAACAAAAAGAGACAAAGATAAAAATACAAAGGTACAAGGCATAAATTGAATGCAGAATGCATTTGGCACAATTCGGCCCCCAAACATAAAAGATGGCACTCAATAAAAACATGTACATCAGAAACAAGACTTTTGTGAACATGTACAGTCGGGAGCAAAAGTTTGCGGGGCACGGGAGCGCGTGCCGAAATGCATTGCCGCGCCGTGCAACGGCGCTCCGCCGCATTACTAAGCCGTGCTTTGCGCATGCGCGCCATTCGTGCTGGGAGACAGGTCTCTTTCGCTCGTTTCTGTCCGACTCACTCCTGATAACCGGAGTCGGCGTCAGGGGCGCAAGTTGCTGTTTCGTTGGCTGTCATGTTTCGCGTCCTCTTCAGCTGCCTCAGCAGCCGCGCTGGGTGACGGAGCGCCTGGTTAACCCCCCCCCCCCCCCCCCCCCCCCCCTCTTCCCCCTACGCGACCTCCATGACAAAGCGCGGTGGCTGAGGCGGCAGAAGCAGACGCACAGCATGACAACCAGCGAAGAGCTAACTCGCGCCCCTGGCGCCGACTCCTCTTATCAGGAGCGCGTCGAAAAGAAACGAGCGTTTGCGAGCACGAAAGCCGCGCATGCGCAAAGCGCATCTCCTTAATGCGGCGGCGCGCCGTCGGACGGCGCGGCGATGCATTTCGGCACGCGCTCCGGTGCCCCGCAAACTTTTGCTCCCGACTGTACATCAGAAACAAGACTCTTGCAGAATCTGTGCTCTCATTATCATCAGAAACTTTTACTTGGTTTATAGCAAGAAAGGCAAACTTTCAACACCATCATAATGTAGGATGCAAGCTCAATAAATTGCCATTCTTTTAACTGTCTATAATCTGCTCTCCAGATCACATATGATGCTGCCAAAACTACTAAAATTGCTTGGCCTAGCACTTCAGTAGCACATGCTCTTGTGAAAATAAAGCCAAGAGCGTGCGCCAGTGGCTTCAACAGCATGGTACACTATAGAGGTTGAGAAGGGCAGGAAGATTTAGTTGTCCTGCCCCCAGTGCAAGTTTTCTAACTTTGATAATGCCTCGGCGTCTTGGAAGCCTCGAGTGTGCCCGCACAGCCGAAGCATGGTGGAGGGCAATGAGCATGTGCTGGAAGTCAGACATTCGAATGGGATGCCTAACCGTTTTCGTCCTCCCTGTAACTGTAGTATGAGAATTTTATGATTCAGTTTTGTAGCGTTACAAGAGAAGGCAGGGACCTTGATGCCTCGTTTTGCCAATGGGTGTCATCCTGTGAACATTTGGAGCTGTGCTACGCTCGTTTTTCTGCCCACAATTGCGAGAACTATGGCGATTTCAGCATGGACCGCAAACCAGAGCAAGAGTGAACATTCAATATGTATCAAACTCGGAAAATCTGAAACAAATACCTTTGAAATGATTTGGCAGGTTTATGTCAAAAAAGCAGTGAAGCATGCGAGTTGTTTTGAGTGGCACTCACACTTCAAGAATGGCAAAACATCACTGGAAGATGAAGAGAAGTGCAGAATAAGTTCGAAGGTCTTTGTATCAGATTTGCTGAGTTCGACACAGAATTTATGTTTGCTGTCGCTCAGGCCTGCGGTCCATGCTGAAATTGCAGTCGTTCTTGCGCATGTGGTCGGAAAACCTCGTTTAGCACAGCTTCATATGTTCCCAGAATGACGCTCTTTGGCGTAACGAAACAAAACAATAGCTGCACACTTATCACCGTGCTGCCTTCTCTTTTCGTGCTAAAAAAAACCAGTACCAGAATTTTCGGATCGCACCTCGTATGAATACAAGCAAAAATTTCGGTTCAACACGATAAATCATTTCTAACACTAATATTTTGAATTCATTGCCTCCAGAAAGTAACCGAGTACTAGAAAGTTAAAAACGATGTTCATATCAATATATTTTTCTAAAAAATATTTAAATTAAATTTCACTAAATTACATCAAATTTTTTTTTTCTTGCGCGCGCGGCAGGAACGTTTAGTAATCGTTTTTATAGCTCAGCTCCTGCCTTTGACATTTGCCAGTCGCCGCGCCAAGATCGACGTCCGCACACCGTGAGACATTCACTCGTCAAGGTCGCTTCATTCGACAAGGTCGAGCTGCAACCCAGAAATTGGAGGGCACGGCAGGCCGAAAATACAAGCTAGCTAAATTCAAACACCAGGCATTCCTTGTAGTAGCACAACATGTAAATGCCGGTTCCTTTTTTCGACGCCAAAGACCGGAGCGGCACGACCCATTCATTCATTCATCCTCAGTCGTCCGCTGGCAGTGTGAAATCACGGTGCACCGCCTCGTGCGTTATCAAAACCTAGGCCAAGTGAACGCGACGATTCCATCATTTCGAGAGGAGATTCTGACTAAACGAAATGCTTCACTTACCGTGCAGAGAAGGTGGAATGGCAGAAGTAGCAGGCTACCAGCAGGGCAACCGACCTTGTGATACGTCAACTGGCGCCGGGATCTTACACAATCGAGAGGAAATCCTTTGATGTGGAAATCCTTGCGCCACTTTCACTTGCGTCTTTTTGCTAGCAGGTTAAAAACTACGAGGTGACGTCATAATCACTTTTTTGTACCAGTTTGAAGTTTTATTTGTAAAAAATGATGAAAACCGTGCCGACCGTGCACTCGTAAATTTTTCCTTTAAATTTATTTAAAATTGTTAATGACTAATTGAATCACAGTTGTAAATAAAACTTGCAAAAGGGAGGAAACCGTTTCTAATTAAAGAGTTTTAAAACACAAAGAGACACAAATGTCATGAACTTGATACACTTTTTTACGAAGGAACACGTCGTTACTTTTACTTGATTCCGGTTCCGGTTGTTTTGTTGGTTTTGTGCTGCGTCGGGCGTCGTCGGCGGCGTTCCTGTCGGCTCGTGCAGAGGAGACGAAACGCAAGCGTAGCACCGCGGCGGTTGCAAGTACACGTGTACGAACAATTGCTCTGTCCGGTGCGCGTTTTACCCTCACGATGCGTAGCAGCAGCATTTTATTTATTCAGGTTACATTGCTAATTTTGAGCACCACATCTCTATGTGACCCAACAATGAAAGATATCAAATGCGAAGGTGAGTATCGCTTTAAGTTCTCTCCACGAAAACTTTGACCGGCTAAGTGGCACGTTCTCCCTGCCAATTTTCCAGTTTGCAGAGCCCTTGTAAAGGAATCCGTGGATCTAATCGCGAAAGCCGATCCGAAAAAGAAGATCCCCGTGGGAAGTTTCCGACTACGAGCTGACGGCACGCAGGAACAGAAAACGGTAAAACCACCCAACCGAACCGTCGTCAGATGCAATTTTAATAAATATCGTCGCGTGTCCAAGTAGCAGCGGGCCTACTGTGGAAGCCCGGGGACACTGCAAAGTCTAATCTAAACTTTTTTTTTTTTTTTTTTGCTTTAAGATGAGGCGCACTCTTGTGCGCGGATGAGATGCCTCTGAAAAGAGTCCACCTAGCCTGTACCACATCTTGCACTTCAAGGTGTCCCCAGTGTCTTTCTATGAATAAGCCAATGAACTATGTGCCCTTAAACTTTTCACAAGTGTGTTTTTGGGTGATGCATTAGTCATATTCAAAATTCGTAAATGTAAATTTCTAAAAAAAAAAAAAAAAAAAAAAAAAAAAAGTTATTAAAATATGCACAGAGAGAAAAACGTAAAGAAACTGTCCGGCTGACTCTGCTACTCACTACTAATTTTAATCCTGTGCTTTCGAATTATCAATTCATGTCAGGATTTTGATTTTCTGTCCCCGAAATGAATCGGCATAGAAAGAAACAAGAGAACACAGATAAAGTAACTGCTTCAGTAGGTGGAAGATTTATCTGACGAGCTAAAAGCAGTAGGGTTCTTTTTTTGCCAAAACATGAGTTCACTGCTCATGGTGGTGTTTCAAGCATATGTTTTTAAAGCTCGATGGAGGCATTCATAGAAAAATATTCGCCACTCTTCTGAACTCCAAAGGGGCTTTGAACTTCGTATATGGAGTCATATTAAGCCGGGGTCACACTGCTTATACATCACACAAAAGACAGTCTCCATATATAGATTTGAACGCAAGATCCGTGCCTTGAATGCCGCATGGCAATGAGTTCAAGGAGGAACTTGGCACACGGCATTCAAACCACAGATATTGCAGTGACTCGTGTTTGCAGACTGTCTTTTGTCATATGTATGAGCAGTGTGACCCCAGCCTTGGTGTTGGTGCATTGTGGTACAGTTATGAACACAGCTTGGTGAAAGTCGATATATTTTTTTGGAAGTGGGTCACATTTATACAAGCCCACTCTCAGTGAGAACACCCACCAGCTATTGCAGTTTAACTATTACAAGGCCCTGTGTATGAACATACATATTGGTTATCAAGAATACTGATTTTATCAGTTTGGTGTTTTCTGTCCACCATAAAAATTTGTCTTGAATCCTTTAACTCGCAAATAGCCCTGAAATTTTGCTGTCAGATTCGGCGGTGTTTCTTACCGATTTTGTTTTCATAAAGTCACAAACAATAAACAAACAAGAGCTCTGCATTGGGTACACAACATTTGGGATATGAGGTATTAAGTTCAGAAATATTGGTACTTGTTTGTCTGCTGCTGATTTCATTAATGAAAACAGGAGTGAAGGGTTTGAGTATAACATCAAACATTTCAATCAGCTTGGACTGGGGTGCAATCATTGTACCCCAGTCCAAGCCGAGCACAGACAGGCTGCTTGTATTTAATTCATGAGCCACATTTCATCATCCTCCCCCAGGAAGCTGTATACCTAGTAGTCATGGGATGCCATGATCATACTCTGAAACCACTGTCTCTAGTCTTTAAATTAGAAATTTGAGGTTAAGCTTCTGGCTCATCAGCATCATGTGTTTTCATGCTTATGTTTTGGTTTGCTTGTGTATAGCTTGAATCCTGTATCCCTTCATGGCTCTTTAAAATTCTCCATGAGTCCGTTTCACTTACATTCTGTTCTGCTTTTGTGTCTGTGCTCACCTCCTTTGTTTGGCATATTGAATAGCTGAAGGTCTCTAAGAACTTTAAGAAGCTCGGTCGGTAACTGATATGTCGGTCGGTAACTGATGCTACGCACAATCAATATAAAAGATTATACAGAGCATAAAGGCTCTCGTCAAAAGCCCAGATGCTGCGTTGTCTTGATCAAACGTTCCTTTCATTAGATATGACTGTAGCATCATATGTGGCTCTTTGTGCATTACCTAATGTAACAAATATGTGTCCGAGGGGGGTTTCCAAGTTGCGTAGTTGAGGCTCTTGTTTGCATTTTGCATTTTCCCTTTCGAGCATCCTATGGTGATCCCCAAAAGTTGGCTTTGTGACTGGGGCAAGTCTGTGTGGTGCTTGTTTTTCCGTGGATTGCTTGTGGAAGTCTGTGAAAAAAGTTTATAAGGTTTGCTTCATTCCAAAAATAAACTATGTGTCGCAGAGCGCTCAATCTCTACCTACATGTAGCGCCAGCAGTCTGTAGAAAACGTTGAAGTTTTACAGCTTGACGTTATCCAATTAAAAAGTTATAAGCGATTTTCTCAAAGTTTAACGAGGAAGTAGCTGCTGACAAAGCCCACATTTATATGGGGATGGATGGCGTTGGCTACTGGGAATGGGCCATATTTTGTCAATAAATATTTATGAAAGTCGTTTATAATTTTTTAATCAGACAAGGACAAGGGCAAAGTTCAGCATCCAATACTTTTCATGTGTTTATTTTTGTGTTTTATCTGTGATACTAAACTTTGAACTGTTATTATTCCTTTCAATCAATCTTTCATTCTCCAAAAGTGAATGGCTACCATTAAGCATCTATCTACCGTGTTTTTGTACTGTAGTCCATCGGCTATACGTGTTTAAAAGTTTAAATTTTATGTGGTGTTCACTATGTGCAGGTGTAGACTGTACAAGCTTGTGTTTCTTGTGTTTTTCTAGATTGTTCATTATGATGAGACATGACATATTTTGCAAATGACAAAATATGCCAATATGCAAAATATGACAAAATATCATTGATGTATGTCACAAGCTTCTCTGTGAGCCAATAAAGCGAACATTTGTGAAAATGTGCTTTGTATGTGAAGTTTTTACATGCGGACTAGGCACCACGTTCAGATTATGCAACGCATGCAGACTAGCTAAGGAGGAACTTTTTATTTTATTACAAAATTTGTCTTTGTTAACTGTAGTCCTAAAATTTTGGTATATTTCTCCCTGTTGATCAGCATCCTAAATCATTCCATACACTTCAGAATGTCTCCCACTCGTAACCATCAAGACTCCAGAAAGAGAACTTGAAATGTTGGACATAATAAACTAGCAAAAACTAAATTGCTCTTTTTTTTTTTTTTTTTCTTTTTTTCTTTTTAGGTACTCTATGCGGGCTCAGAAACACACATGCATGACCTCTTGGAACAGGTGTGTTCCTCCCTGGACAACTATGCTCAGGCTACTCACAAGGAAAATGGCGAACTGATCCTTGTCAACCTGAACAAGGACATTGGAAAACTGAGCACTTACCAGGTTCTGGCCAACCCTGACGAAAACGGAAAGCTCCGGAAGCTTGTGAGTTATCTCGAGAAAATATATGAGCATTGCTACAGTGTCGACATACAAAACAATGGCACCTCTCTCACAAATTTTATGCAGCTGAGGTCGTGTGTGCGTGTATCGGTGCCTTTAACTGCAGCGCCTCCTTGTGTTCCTGACCCGTAATACTAGAAAAATATTACAATCCCTATCATTTGAGGTGCTCAACCCAATAGACCAGTGGTTCTCGAATGGGGGTCCGCAAAGGCATCAGGGGTCCGCGAAGCCCGACAATGAAGGTTACCTTTTTTCAGATTGAGAAGAAATGTTTCAATTTTTGTGTAGGTTTTCTCATGTGTATGTCAGTGAGAGAAGTCTACTTCACTTAAGCCTTAGATATATCCATTTATTGAATCATTATTGTAATTCAGCTATACCTTTCCCTACCCCTTTTCACGAGCAGGGTCCTCCATCATCTTCGTTGATCCACAAGGGCTCAGCGAAGCATAGATGGTTGAGAACCACTGCGATAGAATAAAATGAGTCATTGACATACATTCAAATCATATCAAATCATTCAAACCAAAACATTAAAACTCGGCACTTTCATCAAGGGCTGCAGACGCGATGCGGCGGATACGGTTCTTGGTCTTAATATTGTGGATAAGGTAAAAACTCTTGGTCCTGTCTGTAAACTCTTCGGGTGACCGCAAGTTGCCAAAGATAAGGAAATTGCAAGGCTGAATAGTGATAAATGGAAGGCATATGGGGTTTTGATCTGCTCTGCACTGGTGTCAGTAATGGCCGCCATTATAAAAAGAGTGAAATCATCTTTTGCAAGCTCGATAGGTGCTAAAAGCAAGGGTTTGTGGACGTAAGCAGCCATCTGCTCGAAGCTGCGGTGCTGAGTGGTTCACTTGCTGCATTATAACACGCCAGAAATCTGGCAGCACATAAACCGGATGATGAGACATCTTTTTTTTGACGAGCACCCACTTCTCACGATTTAGTGCCTGGGTTATCACTTCTTTCATTTGACACATAACCTTTGAAGCCAACAACCAGGACCCAAGTGCCTGCTACACCCCCTCTACCTCTACCTCTTCCCAGTTTTCCACAAGCAGGCGTCAGCTGACTGCTTCGTGTCCTAACAATGGAGCAGGAGTTTAAATTGGCCACCACTTCAAAATTTGGTCTCACCCAGAACGGCAGGAAAGAGAGAGACAGCTGATATCCATTGACAGCCTGTAGATCTGTACCTCACAAACTAACATCATGACATGCTGCCCAATGGTGCCATGTGTTCGAGCTATCATTAGATATCAACTCTCAACATGTTCCATGGCTCTAAAGCACATATCTTGTTGCTTTTATACTCAGGGACTACCTTTCTTAACATTTTCAAAGAAAGAAGGAGAATGCACACACAGCTTTAATCAGCATTGCCAAGAAGATTATAAGTAACTGCATTAACTGACCATTAACTGCATTGCGAAGAAGAGTATTATAAGTAAAACGACTTCTTAAGCTAGGTAATAGCCGTGTCCGTTTGTAGCTTGTACTATGTACACAATCTGGATTCTGCAAGCATGAGCACAGAACCCTGGTGTATCAGCAACCTGCAAGTTTGCTACAAGTTGAATGTCTCAAATTATTTTTACTTGTATACCTACTTTCCTGCTGATCGCCCCTTATTGCTTTGTATTCTCTTCTATGCTGCATGGGCAAGCAGTCATAAATCTTCTTTGTTATTTTTCTATAACTAGGTTGTGGGTTTTTGGTGTTTATTTATTTACTTATTTTCAAATTTCTGTGGTTTTTTTTTTTTGGCGGAGGGATTTTTTTTTTACATTTAATGTTTTTTTGTGTGAATTGGTTATAATTTAACCAGTTCGCAAAAAAAAAGCAAAAAAAAAAATACCCCAAATCTGTTTTAAAAAATACCCCTCGCCCAAAAAAAAATGAGATAAAAGAAAAAGTAAAGGTTGAAAACATTAAATTTCTTCTATACACCTACTCATGTTTACAAACAAACCGGAGTGCCCCTAGCGGACGCCACCGGCGCCGCGCATGCGCGATGGATGGTGGGCAAGAAGCCCGCCGTCGCCCATAAACAAACTATTGAATTGCGTTGTTGTCGGCGTCGGTGGGAGTCCCCGTGCTCTTTTTCACGTTGGAATTGTTGATTCTATGTCCTCCTAACAATGTCTGACTACTTGAACGGCTTCAGCAAAACTAACGAGGAAAAACTTTGCGTGAATAATGTGATGTGCGGCGATTCATTTCACGTGGACGCCGCAGAATAGGCGCTAAAGCCTGACTCCCACGACGAGATTCTGCTCGCTGTTTTCAGACGCGACGTTGATTGGACTGCAAAAGCGTGGACCGTAGCTGAGATGGTAGACGTCGATACTGAAAACCGCAAGTAGAATCGGGCATTGCAAGTCGGTGATGGCCTCTGGTAACAATAATGATCAACATCTTCTTGTATCTGTATACACTTAGCCTACTTCCCCAACCAACCTTCAAAAGTGTTTTGAGGCCTGCACTTAGTTCTTATCGCAATTACCGAGTCAACGTTTGGTTTACGGGCCGCTGTCATTTGAACGAGCTAACGACAAAAAGCAGCCAATTTTGAAAGAGCAGACGACAGTTCGAACGCATGCGTAATGGGGTACGGGCAAGAAGCACCGTCGTCCCGCGTCAACAAACCACTCGAACGTCACGTTGTCGGCGTCTGTGTGAGTCTGCATACACTTTTTCGCGTTGGAATTGTCGATTCTACGTCCTCATCGCAATGTCTTACCACTTTAATCGCCTAAGCGAAATTACCAAGGCTCGTTACGCCGCTAAACTTTCTGTAAATAATTTGACGTGCGGCGATTCATTCGCCTGAACGCCGCAGAATAGACGCCAAAACCATGATGAGATTCTTCTAGCTATTTTCGGTAGCGACGTTGCTCGTGTTGCAAAAGTGTAGAAGATAGCGGCGATGATCGACGTCGATACTAAAATCAGAAGCGGGAACAGACCAAGCGTAACAAGCCGGTGATGGCCACCGGTACCTATGATCAACATCTTGTATCTACTGTTTGCACCGAGCCTACTTAAGTCTTTTGAGGCCTGCAATTACTCCTTATTGCAATCACCAGGTCAAAGTTTGGTCTGTGGGCTGCTTTTGTTTGAACGAGCAGACGACGAAGAGCAGACATTTGAAAGAGCAGACGAAAGTTCGAACGATCAGGCGGCCGTGTTAATTTGAAGACACACTAAACCCGTGGGTGGTTCGGACAACTTGGCGATTTTCTCTCGTTTATGTTGGAACAAAGCAAATACATCTGGCGACCACAAAGTGTTGCCCGTACACGCAATCGTAGTTCGACAGCGTCTGGTTTGCCCTTTTCACGGCTACTATCCACGTTCTCGGACGAACGGAGGGGGCAAAAACACATAAAAACTGATCTTGAAACCTTTCTAGACTCTCTTGGTACAACCCCCGTCGCAGCATTTTGACGAGCAGGCAGGTTTTTGTCTCGTTTCTTCCAAAGGAACGCGGGAATGCATGTCTGGCACGGCGACTTCTGCCCACCGCCCCAGACCGGAAGTGCGTGCGGCGCGCCACCAGCGCGGCGTGACGTAGGAGAGTTGAGTTCGTGTATAACACAGTTCTGATTAGATGTGGACTTATTTTTGAACTTAGTCTTGAAGTATAACTGAAACTGTCCGTCTATAACTAGGTTTTGGGTTTTCTGTGTTTATTTATTTTACAATTACAGCGTTTTCTTTTTCTTTTTTTTTTTCAAGGAAGGTTTTTTTTTTTCTTTTCAGATTCAGTATTTCTTGTGTGAATTGGTTATAACTTAACCAGTTTGAAAAAATAAAAAAAAAAAACAATCTGTAAGAAAAAATATCCCCCCCCCCCCAAAAAAAAAGAAGAAAAAAGTGAATTTTAAAAAAAAGAAGTGAACATCAAAAACATTGATTTTCATCTATAACACATTTGTAATTAGATGTGGACTTATTTTTGAACTTAGTTTTAAAGGATAACTGCAACCAAATTTTACAGTTTGTTGCTTCCTCTGTGCAAAGGAGTGTGCTACGAGCATCTCACTCTTAACCATATATCTGCTCATGCAATTGGCACATTGCTTATATCCTAGGCCTGGGCATCTATTTTTTCGTGAAGCACACAGAGATTCAATAGTGGCAGTCTGCGAAATGAACTAAGCAAATGATGGTGCCTAGGGAAAGTTGTTCCCTAATCTGGTCTGCACTGATTTCGGGGTATGAAAATGTCATTGCTCACTGTCCAGTATCCGTTTTGGTCAAGTATGTTGTTTCTGGCTCGTAAGTTGTTCGCAGGTTGCTATGATTATCTATTTTTGTGCTCCCTGGGATAGTCAAAGCAAGGGCCTTGTTCACAATGAGTGCAATTGCTATTCACGTAAATATGGTAATATTTTGTAATAAGCTACAAAGGCAGTTATTGAGTATTGTGTTTTTGGGGGTGGAACCATTGCTGAGTGCACACCTCAACATTATTTTGCAGTGTGAAGACATGCTTGGAGAGTTCGAAGATGAATACATCCGGGTTTTCTCAAAGCAAAAAGTCAGAGTTGAACCTCAAGCATTCAAGTTGTTCTGCGAAGGCAATGAAGGTAACCCTCTTAATACTTTTCTATCATGGCTCTGTAATATTAGAAACTAACAATCATGAGCAATATTTGGAAATTATCTAAATTGAGTCCACTTTAGGGTGTTAAATAGCTGATGTTAATATCATATACCTATGCTGCAGAAACCACAAAAAAAAAGTGTTAGCAGTTTATAAAGTTGCTGCCAAATGAGCCATAGAATCGGGGAGAAACTTAATTAAATGCTTGGCAGTACAGTGCACTCTGCTTGTAGTCACCATGATGGGTTCTGGACAAAGTGTGACCGTAACTGGAGTGGGACTACAGTCAGAGTGCCGCTGAATACAATGCATTTCATAGTGCCCACCTCCCTCCATGAACTTCACAATCACATTCACACTGCCCAAAGCAACATGTTCCATATCCCCAAGGAGTATGTCCTGTCGTTTGGTAGTCATTGCTTTAAAGGACATTGACACCCCTCAAAATATTTTTTTTTAATCTTTTGCCAAGCGGTTTATTATGGTGTTAGAAGACCACCCGATCAATGTTTTGCTACAACATCACATATATCTTTAATAAAGTAAAAAAACTCAAAGGCTCGAAACCGAAACTGAACTGGGGAGGAAGAAGAAATATAGAGGAGGAGAGTGTTGGTAAAAGTCACGTTGCTGTGCAACTTTTTTAATGCATTAGCTGTCCCATGGAGCAAACCGACGTCATCAGCTTTAAAACCACGCCAAATGTTGGCCAAACGACAGCTAAAATGCCCTTTCCCAAGTGAAGGCGATTCCTGATGGATTATGCTCTCATTGGCGGGCCTGCGTATCAAGGAACGAGGCTCCCATTGGCTCTTGCACGGCACACTTCCAAAAAAAGCCACCAGAGAAGCCCTCTCTATGGCGGCGCAGCGCACGCAGCGGCCTGGCAGCAGCGCCCGCTTGGGCTAACTCCGGGGAGGGCGCACGGCCAAGCTCAGCACAGCGCGGCCGTTTGACAAGAGCGCGCGCTCGGCCTTCGGCCGGGGAATTATGGCCGTCCACGCCACGCACCGCAGACGAACTAAGGGAGTGGAAGAATGACATTCATGCTTTTACATTCACAACTCATGAGAAGTGCTTAGGTGTCCTTGGACTTTTTTTTTTAATCAACTTATTTGCAGCTTCTTAGAAGACACAAAAAATAGGTATCATATTTCCTTTCTATTTTAAATATTGAATGAGTGCCTTCGATGACCCCCGACTTCAATTTTACTTGGCCGTTTTGTCTTAACCAGGGGTTCTCAAACTGGGTTCCGGGGAACACAGGTGTTCCACGAGCTGGTCTCAATTGCAACCCCCCCCCCCCCTCCCCTCCCCCGCCGCAGGCTGCGCGACAGGACCATGCGAAGCGCCTTCATCTCACTTTGTACTGACAACGCGATTGATATGGTGGGGATATATGGGAAGCAACACAAGCGAAATGACCTACAATTGTGCATCTGTCGCTTCTCGGTCGGCAAATATAATGGGGGGGGGGGGGGGGGGGGGGTTCCGCAGCAGTTTTTGAGGCTTTCTGGGGTTCCGTGAGACCAAAAAATTTGAGAACCCCTGGTCTAAACCATAGAAAATGGCACATGACCTCGGAGAAAAGAGCGAGCGTGATTCAAACCAACCAATTCTCGATCAACGGTTTCCAGACGGAAAGAAAAAAAATTTTGAGCTGAAAATTCTGTTCTGTGTAGTTGAGCTCTCATATGTTATGTACAAATAAAAACCTTGGTGAGCATAGATACCCTGCCAGTGCCCCCTTAAAGGGGCCCTGCAAGGACTTCTTTTCTGGTTTTTAATTTTCACCGAACCTAAGCGCACTGAACGTAGTAACTTAATAAAACTCTTCTTTTCTCGAATTTCGCTTTATTTTAAAAGCTATAGGCTAATTAAAATTACAAAAACAAGCAAAAAATAACCTCCTTCACGAGTTCCTTGGTTGCTTGAGTGGCCGTGAGCTAGAGGAGGGGTAGTGAGCTCAGCGAGCGCTTACGGCTGCCGCACTCTGTGTCGACGGCGCGAGAGGGCGCCACTAAAGCACGTTTTGGATAGGCTGTATGCAGCGGGCAGCCAGAGCGGCTCTCATGGCATTTGCTGCGCGATTAAACACTAATTCAGCATGACACTTCATTGAGCACAAACGACAACAAACACGGGGTAAAGATCAGTTCAGAATGGAAGCCACTTCGCGCTTCCATACCACAAAACGGCCAAACCGCAAGACGAAGCTGCTCGCCGAAGGCGTTCCGAACGCTCGGAGCTAGTTGGATCCTCCAGTCCATACGGCCGCAGCGCCGCCGCATGCATTCGGGACCTTTCCGTGTTGGCACCTGATCCTACTACTCCTTTCTAGTATGCACCGCCTTTTCCACCGCTTGGCGGCGGGTATGTCGACAGGTCATTTCTTGTTTCCGTACTTTATAAACTGCATTTGATTCTTTTCTGATCTAAAATACTGAAGAAAAACTACTTTTATAAATAGTTGAAACAGTTCACGCCACTTATATTTTGTATTTCGACTAAAAAGAAGCTTTTAGCGGCTCTGACCTGTAGTAACCCCAGGACCAAAGACGTCGCATATCGCGCGCTTTCGGTACCGCGGGTCACCCCCGTCGGTGGAGGAGGTTTCTTCGTCGTCCGGTTAAAATATGATGCACTCATATTTAGTTACTCTTTCCGTGCCCGCTGGCTTGCCCGAACCCCAAGAGACGTGGAAACCGCAAAAAAGGCAGACGCTTAATTATGATTGCAGGGCCTCTTTAAAGGGACACTGACAGGGTATTTATGCTCGCCAAGGCTTTTATTTGTAGATGATATATAAGAGCCCAACTACACAGAAAACAATTTGCGGCTCGAAATTTGTTTTCTTTTTGCCTGAAAGCCGCCGATCGAGAACTGGCCGGTTTGAGTCACGCTCACTCTCTTCTTCGTAATCACGGGCTGTTTTCTAAGGTTCAGACACAACCACCAAGTGTAATCAAAGTTGTTGGTCATTGAGGGCACACACACAATACTAAGAATGGAAAAGAAATGTGATACCCATTTTTTGTGGCTTCTAAAAAGCTGCAAATATGTTGATTCGAGAGAAAGAAGCTGCACAGCCACGTGACTTCCGCCAACTCTCTCCTCTATATTTCTTCTTCCTCCCCAGTCCGGTTTCGGTTTCGAGCAGTTGTGTTTTTTTACTTTATTAAGAATATATGTGACGCTGTAGCAAAATATTGACTGGGTGGTCTTCCGACGCCATAATCACCTGGCAAAAAATTTAAAAAAAATTATTGGGGGATGTTAGTGTCTCGTTAACAGTGACAAGCTTTTAAATTTTGCATGTTGATCAGTACCCAAAACGAGTTGCCTCTATAGGTTATGAAGTATGCACCTTTTAAAACAGGAATAAATAAGAGCTAGATTTTTTAATGTTCATTTGAGTGCGGTAGTTCTAGGTTGTGTCATTGGTTTGGGCAGTCTTTGAGAGGCCGAAGATTAGTAGCGCTATTGGCATCTAATACCTTTAAAAAAATCTCAATTTAAAAGCCGACCAACAAGCAGAGAGGAGGAAACTCTCCCTCGATTCCTCCGTTCCATTTGAGAAAGAGGAAGACCCTCCTCCCCCTCCACCGGGAGTACTTCAGAGATCCGCTCCTGTGTGGAGAGGAGGGGAAAAGTGGGCGAGTGGGAATGGAGAGAAGGAAACTGGGAACCGTTTTTTTCCCCATAGATGATGATTCTGTAGGTCAGACTTTAAAGAAGATATTGTCTGTATAATAGAGCAATATTTGAAATTTCCCTCAACATAAACTCTAGCACTATGAATCCTTCCGTGGTTTGTTTCTTCCCCTCTTCCTACTAGTAATTAAAATTTTTTGATTCCGGCATAGTTGCACGTATGTGGCAGCAAATAATCCAGCTTTTCTGATCAGTCTTGTGAATTTTCCATTTCTGATTTTATTATGTCTACATTTTCAGATATCTGTGAATCAAGAGCTACAAAACAAGAATTGTAGTCATGTTCCAAATAGGGATACATTTTGCACAGTTGGACATTTGTTACTTTATCGTTTTGTTGCATTTTCCTGGGCATTTTCCACATTTACAAAAGCATGCTACTCCATTTTTATTTATATCTTGCATACAATGATCTTGGCTGGCCCCATGTGATATTTTCATCAATGAAACGAGTTACGGTCGAACTGTGACACTAAAGAATGTTCTTCACCTTGTCGCCTTTTTTGGGAGGAATTGCAATGGCTCTAGACGCACATTATCTTAGTGGAAATGTAGCTTGATTTTTTAAACAAATATGCAGGTGTGTGAATGGGTATACTTTAGAATAAAGGAAACGTTTGCTTATGAATCCTGACTTTTCTTTTGTGGACGGAAGACACTGCAATGGTATGCAAACCAGGAGAGTCCTCACAACCTTGACTGATAATGTGCCAGATGCTTTTCAGTCGTACGTGTAGTGCTGTTAGTTACCGGCAGGTAACTAACAGCATTACCTAACCTAACAATACTAACCTGTTTTTTACACACTATCATAGAGGGCACCACCTTACTGTTACGTTTTGTATATAAGCCGTGAATAAAGCCTGCTGCAGGTCTTTGCCTGTCCGGCCCAGATGATATTGTTTGGTCCCAGTCTCTACACGGTGTCAGGAGTGGTTTGCCAGGCTGCCTTCTGCGGCAGCGGCAAAGTTTGGAAACCATGCTACAGGCAAGCCAGCAGGAGCCGGGGTGGGACCCGTAACAGTGGGTGTACCAAGCCTACGCCCGCCGCCACAGTTTGACTTGGGTAACCCTGGAGAGTGGCAACAGTGGCGGCAGCAATTCGAAGACTACTGCTAGTCTACTACACATCGGGCCACTATGCCGCCACTGACAAAGTTTGACTGCGGACATTGCTGTATTGCATGGGACGCAAGGCATGCGACATTCTGAGCCCGCTGCAAGTGGAAGAGGCGGACCTCGGCGAATTCAACCACGTTGCCGAGAAGTTTGATGGTTACTTCATCCATCCCGCCAACAAACTGTACAAGAGTGCATGCTTTCATTGGCACGTCCAGCAAGCCAGTGAGTCGGCCGACTTTTTGCACAGTTCTGGGAGAATTTGTAAAAAAAATGCAACTATCCTTTTTCGCGCGAAGTGGAGGAGCGTTTGATACGGGACCGCTTCTTGATCCGCCTTCAAAACGTCAAGTTGTCAGACAAGCTTTGTCGCAATCCAAAGCTGACACTCAAAAAACAGCGAATGCCACAAGAAGGGCCTTTTCGCAGCGGTATGTTGCTCCGGCGCAAAGTTCGAGAAGCACAGCAAGAGGCTCACGTCGATTGAATTAGGTGCTGTCGGTTTGAACTGCAGTACTCAAGCGAAGTTCGTCGAAATGAAAATCAACGGGATTCCACTGAGTTTCAAGGTCGACAGCGGGGCCGAAGTCAAAGTCACCCCCAGCACATTTTATGGGTATCCGGCGCGGCTCAAGCCGCCGGACGGACAGCGCTAACTGATCCAGTGGACCAGCCCTTGGACGTTTTCACGGCGTTCGTCGCCACTCAAATCGAAGAACAAGGTGATCAAGCGGAAGATGTACGTGTTCCGGTCCCAGGTCGTTCTGTTCCTGCAATTTCCAGGTATCCAGGCGCTCGGCATGGTCAAGTTCGTCGAGCCGGTGGCTGCCGTTCAGCGAGGAAGGAACGATACTTCGATGATGGGTGGTTCTAAGTGTTGGGTGAGCTCAAGGAGGAGTACATCATCTGCCTTCAACCCGATGCGATCCCTTTCTCGCTTCATGTTTCTAGAAGAGTTCCTATCCCCTTGCGCGACATTGTGAAGACGGAGTTGGACCAAATGGAAGCCCAGGGTGCGATCCAGCGGGTGTCAGATCCTACGCCATGGTGCACGGGAATGGTTGTCATGCCTAAGTCGTCGGGTGCCTACCGCATCTGCATCAACCTCACAAGGCTGAATAAGGTGGTGCTTTGAGAGCATCATATTCTTCCTACGGTGTGCCAGCTCTTGGGACTTCTTGGTGAAGCTCGAGTTTTTTCGAAGCTGGACGCTACATCCAGTTTCCATCAAGTGAAGTTTTCTGAAGTCTGTCAGGAACTGATGACAGTTATAACCCCGTTCGGGCGCTACTGTTTCCACTTGTTGCCCTTCGGGATTACATCGGTGCCAGAGTTTTTCCAGCGCCAAATGAGTTACATCCTCAAGGGTCAAGACGGCTTCGTCAACATGATAGACAATGTCCTCGTCTTCGGCCGGGATAGTGCTGAACACGAACGCCGACTGGTGGAAGTTTTCGATCGTCTGGCAAGGGCAGGGCTGACCTTGAACAAAACCAAATGCAGGTTTGGCATCACAAGCGTCGGTTTCCTTGGCGTGATCGTGAGCAAAGATGGATTGCACCAGATCTGGAGAAGGTGGCAACCGTGCAGTGTATGGAACTGCCAATTGACAACGGCGGGGTTCACAGGATCTTTGGCATGGTCAACCATGTGGGGAGATTTCTGCCACATCTGTCCAACGTTACAAGCACCAATTCTTTAGCAACCGAACAAGCGGAGTGTTTGGATTTGGGGTCGAACTTGGCAAACGGCATTCCAAAGACTGAAGGACATGATTTCTTCCGATGTCTCCATGGAAAACTACCACCCACAGTACCCCACCATCATATCTGCAGATTCCAGCTCGTTTGGACTCGGGGCAGTTTTGCTGCAGGACCAACCAACGGGCAAACGGCAAGTGGTGGCTTTCACATCCCGTGTACTCACGCCAACTGAGCAAAGGTATAGCCAAACCGAAAAAGAGGCCCTGGCAGTCGTTTGGGCTGTACAACGCTTCGTCAAGTACGTCAGAAGTCTATAATTCACCGTGGAGATAGACCACCAGCCTTTGAACTGGGACAAATGGGTGTGGTCGTTTCGCCTCCAAGGATCCAACGGCTGAGGATCAAGCTTATGAGGAACCAATACAGGATCTATGTTCCCTGGAAGCTGTTGGCTGCAGCCGACACACTGTCCAGGGCCTCATTGACATCAGCCGTAGGAGCGAGCTCCTTGGAGCTTTTCAGACAGAACGTCGTCCCATCCAGGAAGGTTCTCCGGTCAGCCCCAAAGATTCCTGTTGGAACCAAGCATCAGACGGCGAGTGCGTAACACTGGAGAAGTTCTGCAACCACAACTGGCCTCAGAGGAACAAGCTTTCCTGCCACTTCATGAAGTACTGGAACTTCCGTGGTGAGCCGAGTGTGCATTGGGCTGCTTCTCAAGGGTAGTCATGTAGTGATCCCAGCAGCACTGCAACCAGAAGTCTTGCAGTTGATCCATGAAGGACACCAGGGGGTGAACAGGTGCAAAGTGCTGGCCCAAAACTCAGTTTGGCTTTGTCGCATGTTGGAAAACAGATTCAGGCCATGGTGCAAACCTGCGAATGGTGTGCATCTACAGAAACGTAACAAGCTGAGCCGGTGCTGCCAATGCCTCCGGTGGATCTACCATGGAAACAGGTGGGAGATGATCTGTTCCATCGGGATGGGCAGGACTTCCTTCTGGTGGACTACCGCTCTTGTTAACCAAAAGTTGTAACACTGCGAAGTATGTCAAGCCAGGCTGCGATTTTAGCAATCAAGAACGCCGTGGCTCGCTTGTGTATACCGGAAGTACTAAGCAGTTACAACGGGCCACAGTTTTTCTCACATGAATTCGCAAGAGACTACAGTTTCGAGCATATCGCTAGTAGCTAGCCCCGGCTACCTCGGGGAGGTGGAGCGCGCTTTGAGAACCATTCAGTGCCTTTTTTGCAAGAGTGGCAATGTCTTTTTGGCACTGTTGTCACACCAGGACACGCCAAGTGTGTCAGGTTTCAGCCTGATGCAATTGCTGATGGGGCAACGTCTGCGTTCTTGGATTCGAAGGGCCAAAGAGAAGCTGCGTCCTGAGGTGTCACCCCTGAGTGCCCAAGAGAGGAACTGTGCGGAGAGGCGGCAGCAGGCGGCGGACTTCAGCAGTCACCATGGGTAGCAGGTGCTTCGGGACCTCTCGCCAGGAGAGGAAGTCTGGGTGATGGATGCTCAGTGCTCTGCTCAGGTGCTCAGCGGTGCGCAGCAGTCACATTCTTATGTTGTGGAAATTCAACGGGGCATGCTACAGCAAAATCAGCAACATCTTTTACCTTGCGATGCTCACGCTCCTGGGGCTCCAGTCCCGGGGAGCCTGTGGCTGGTCCTCCAGTTCTTGAGGAGCCTGTTGCTGGTCTTCCAGCCCCGCCTTCAGAGATGTCGACTGAACAGCAACAACAATGATTGGCAGCGACAAGTACAAGTTTATGGATGGCCCAAAGTTTGACATCAAACGACTTCCGGCAGCAGGAGCATCGCTGCACAAGATCAGGGTGATGAAAGAAGCGTTGGTTTGGAAGAAGCGTTGGTTCAGAAAGAAGCGTTGGTTTGGCTGCCTGTGAGACTGGACTTGTGATTGTTGTTAGTTCGGCTGAGAGGAGTGCATCCTTCTGGAAGGGGGGATAGAGTGTTGTTAGTTGCCGACAGGTGTTCCTCTTACCAATATTAGCCTTATTCTAATACACTATCATAGGAGGCGCTGCCGGCCGTGGGTTTTTGACCGTCCGGCCCAGCTGAGATTGTCTGGTCCCGGTCTCAATTTACAATTTTGTTGGTGTTTTCTGCTGCCACAGGGCAGCAGATGGTAGGGGGAAGTCTCGTGCATCTATGTACTTCCAGAACATGATGGAAGCGACCAATGCAACATGTATAAATGGATCCAAGTATACAACAAGATACCTTCTCAGTTCTCCTACAATAATGCAATCTGCTAGGACAATGGACATGAAGTTTCGTGTGCTCAGAACCCGATGGAGATGTAATTTTTATTTTCCAAGCTTCTGTGTAGATCACACTGATGGGCTCGTGTGTGCGATTGTACCTAGATCGTGGCTGCTTCCACGTCTGTGGGTAGTATGTGTGAATGCTGCTCCAAAGTGCTTACCCTGCCACATCTTGCTATATTCCGCCAAAATATGATGAATTTGCGCCAGCATTTCGCCAAAACGTAATTTCACTTTATTATTGAAATATAATAGCTCAGGCCCCGCTGTACAACCGCATCGTTACGCAGGCTGGTGCTAACATTCAGAACTTTCTTACCGCCTCAAATAACTTACTACTTTGTGTCAAGCACCGACAATACTCGGACGTCTCGCAATATTTCTTGTGTTTATGGTGTGTTCTGGCTGGTTAGTGCTTCGTTGAGCGCGCTTCTCGCCGCGCTTCGGGGCACTGCCGTGAAGCGAGAACTGCGCAGTAGGATCTAGGGTGACCACCTTCCTGCTGGCGACATGCG